GAATGTGTTCGTGTACACGATGGCTTCCTGGGTGAGCAGTACGTCGACAAAGGTGCTTCAATTACAGGTCAGACATACGGGCAAATTCTGCGGGAGGAAATCCCGCAGAAACTAATATATTTCAAACGATGCAATATTACTGATGTGCATAATGAAAGGGGCCTTACATAAGGCACGCGTTCGGTTTTTATATAAATTTTGACCACCTTCACACGGTTAATATTTATCCCACTACGATATGAAATGTCAGTGCTCCATTCCGTCAAAAGTTACTCACACGTCATGCACACGATAATTATGCATAAGGATACGTAATTCGCAGTACGCATGGTATAAATCCTCCCCTAACTTTAATTCGGCTAATTTTATTTCCAGAATACGAGACCCAAGACTGTCCCAAGTGGACCTCGACAAAAACCTGACCTCGCAACTTCCTTGGCACACCGCAAGGTGGGTCTTCAAGGCCAAAGGGAGCGGCACCAGTTTGAGATAACGCAGGCAAAAGCAAAATCAAGACCATGAAATTGCAAAAATCAAACAAATTGGCAAAATTCATAGAGAGGAAGCTAGTCATGATAGAGTGGTTAAACTGACAAAAATTTTAGTGAAGGGGAATTACGACGCTCGTGAAGTTACTTATGTAGCCTCCTCGATTGGCAAAATTTTAAGCGGAACTATGGACGACAGGTCGTTCGCCATACAGGCGAAAATTCCAAAGGCGAGGCGACATGAGTTGGAAGGGAGGACCAGGGTTCCAAAGAATGACGTCGTTCTGTATGATGACGGGATAGACACGGCAGACAGTTCTGATTCTGACGGAGAGAAGGATGACTGCTACACACGGCCAAGTGAGGAAGTTGAGTGAGTTGGGGGATCAAGAAATGTATAATCTTATACGCCAAATGAGATATTTAAATAAAAAGTAAAATTAATAGTAACTTGGTAAACATTGGCTCATCTGTATAAAATTAACTCACCATTGTTCAAACTGTGCATAATTATTTGATTTATCCAAATGCAAATTAAACTTATTCGCCGTCTTATATAAATACATATTTAGAAATTCAAATTTCTTCGTGATATTTGCAAAACTGCGGACTTATGCATGTTATCTTAAAAGGTGTTAAGAAACTTCTTTCCAGTCGAGTTTTGGTTGCCAAATTCAGCCAAACAAACGGGATCTGCTGGCCGTTTGGTTGCCGAAAACTTCATTTCGAGGAACATTCTAATAAATCCACTAAAAGAAAGCCATCGCCAATAAAAATGGGGACTTAAAATCAATAAATAACTCATTCGGACAGATTTTATTTACGTAGATTATGCAGATATTGCTTATATGTATCTATGTACTTTATGGGGTGGTCAGACTGCTCATAAATAGAGACAACCCGACCAGCGGCGGTAGCACATTAAAGGCTAATTGCCGACTCCCCTCAGGACACTTGCGTTTACTATTGAGAAAACTGCCATTCGCGATCGTTTAAAAATCTTCCAGTCTTAACAATGAAACTTGCTAACCTGGCTAACGGCACTACCAGATAGTGCTTACATATTTTTCTTAATGTATCGTCAAGAGCAACGCGTAATAAAACTTCATCCAAGAATGCATTTGCACCCCCTCTCTGAACTTATTTAAATATTATTCTGGATACCTTTAAGTTTTCAAAATAGAATGCCAACTCATTTTTTTCAACTACCATTCTGCGGTTGGAATGTGCATCAATGTATCCGAGTTTATTTAGACTTGACACACTGACTTAATATATGACCTGACCATTAACACATTTTCCAACTGAATAAAAAAATATACTAATTTGGGACGGATTAATCGAAAATTTTCCAAAATTTCTGAAACAAAATTTAGCTTTTAGCAAAATTTAACAAAATTTTTATTGGTAGCTTTCGCATCTGTTTGATCCTTCATCAGTGAATGAGTTACATCAAATTGGTGAAATGTTGGCTATTTCATCTCAATTATTAAAAACACAAGTAAATGCTAGGTACCTTGGTCATATTTTTAAAAAATTATGAGTGTGGAGCACCATATAGGGTTGATATTCATTCCACGAGATGAATTCATGTTGTTGTCATTGCTGCGTATGATTAATGCATCTTTGAATTTTCTGTGAAATTTTCTCGATTCCGGAAATATCATCTTGAGGGAATTTTGGTAAATATTATGCTGATTTTCAATCATATGCAGGAAAACTGATGACTTGATGTTTTTTTCTTTTCGCGCCATTTTGATGCTCGATAACACATGTATTAATTTCTCTGCCACTTTCACCAATATATTTATGGTCGCAATTCTCACATTTGAATTCATAAACTCCTTTTTTGGATTTGGATGGTTTTGGTTTTATGTTGCATAATAATGATGAGACTTTTTGCCCAGGCAAATATCCTAATTCCCATTAAAGTTTTCTTCTGATGAATTGTGCAATTATTGTTGTTGTATGGACAGCCCAGGGGAGAATGACTCTTTTTTCATTTTATTTTTTTATAGGAAATATGGTTAGTTTCTGTTTGGTAATTTTGAGACGATCATTTATCATTGAAATTAGGTACCCATTTTTTATCAAAACGTTTTTGACAAACTCGATTTCTTTATCTTGGTGGTCTTCATGGCACAATTTTTAGTCACTGGATAACGATTTTGCCCTGATAAACTGCCGCTGATTTTTTGCGAAAGGCCCTGTCAGGAAAGTTGAACATGGATTGGTTAAAAGGGTTCATCTCAGGTTCCGTTGCGCGTTTTAGTTAGTGTTGACAAAAACACTTTGACCCAACTATCGACAAATTGCATTAACGCAGTGCCAAAATGGCTCATTCCAAGCAAAACTAATGTACATCCTGGACAATATCACTTTTTTAACTTTTTCTTGATTGGGCGTTATAATGAATACATTTCATCTATACTGCCATTTCGAGCGTATACACATTCTTTAAAGCAGAAAATATGTCGCTTGGGACGAGGGTCCGCACTTCTTTTAAAAGTGCGTACCGCTCCAAACGAACTTTCAGTTTTTTTTATTTTGTGCTTTTTTGACTAATGGTTGCGCATGTGGTAAGTTGCAGGTTTGAAAGGCCTAGACCCAAGGTAAATTTCAAGTGCGGTTGGTATTGATTGTATTTAGACCTTCATCTGCAATGCTACCTTTTATTGACTTCGGCGAGGAGTTCTGAGAATTATGACCTTCAGACCGTTTAGCATTACAGTGGTCGTTCAAAGATTCTCCAAATTTGTCTTTTTATATTTGCTAGTTAACCTTGAGTTGATGAACCAATTTATGTTAGACTGGACCCAAATTGGAAGCAGCACTGAATTGTTTTAACAGTGTGAAAATCTCAGTATTTATTTCTTATTTTTTAGTGCAAAATAATTGCCGCTGGCTCCCCTTATATGCTTATCTGTGGATTAATTGTTACAGATGGAAGAAGTGAATGTAAATCGCATAATGAATCTGATGCACGTATCAAATTTCAAATCCGTCCACTAGTTTTTATGAAACTACACATTTACACTTGAGCCTTCCGTACATTTGCATATAAATGATATAATATCGTACAACTTGTTTCTCACTTATGTGAGGTTTGGGTGCCCTTGTATTGAATGTATGCGTGGGAATCAATAAAGATGACCTTTTTAAAAAAACTTGTACACTATTGGACATAATTATTTTCATGCGTTTGTTGTATCTATAAAGTTGCGTTCGGTATCTGTTAATTACTGAATCACTTAGCCTGTTTCGAAATTATTTATTTAAAATTAACTTTGCAAACGCAGATGAGGTGCATCATTTAAAACATAATATTCAATGAGCCATGATATGATATTCAATAAGCATCATGGCAGACGTGAGGATTAATGCTCGTGGACTTCATTGCTTCTAATACAATATGGCCACGTTACATAGAGATCAACTATGTATGTAACGTGATACGATTTCGCATTATTTATTTTATACTCGAAAATTTCGCCACCTGCAGTATATAATTTGGAGCTGTACCTCGCGAAAAATATTTCTGGCTATCACAATGCAAAATTTCGAATAATTCTCTTCACATGTTTATGATGTAGAAAAATGTCGTAATAATTTTGTTGCATAGGGTATCATGTACATAGTTACCATTTTTTGTCCATATTACATGAATATCATTTGCAGAAATCCAGTATTTGCCACATCTTAATACGGACACGAAATTGTGTTAATGTACATTTTTTAAAATTATCATATGTACAAAGAGAAATTTCACAAACTAAATAAAAATCGAGTTTTAGTTTCTGACAATAGTTTTGACAATGTTTTCCTACGCTGTTACAAAACTTTAAATCATCATGAAAACGCAACCCATACATATATACCTGTAGAAAGCACAATTACCCTACCCGGCGTAAAAGCCCTTCAAAGTTTTTATGACCAGAGTGTATGATAAGTAACTTATAGTTTTGATGAGAAGGCAGCAATTTAATGACTAATTTAGATTTATTAAAACTTGCTCAAATTCTCTTGAATACAGTCATTAAATACAAATAATAGTGGGTGGCTTTTTGCCCTGAATAATGCCAATATGTTGCACCCTCGAATGCTGTTGGTGCACTGAATTCACATTCAGTTTTCGTAACTTAGAATACATACAGAAATAGTGGCCCAAAATCCAGTCAACTCCGCTCAAAGTCACCTTGTTACTTTGAGACACCACCCACAATTACATGACTATGACTCGGACACTGACTCGACCTTGCCCATGATTTGACTAATTAAATTAAGATAAGATAAAATGCACATCACATACAAAATATCATACTTGTCATAATAAACTTGACTACATTATTCTACAATACCCATACATTATACATACATATATAAATATTATGTATGTATTACTATATAGAAAATTGATATCCATCTTTTCGAGTCTCCAGCGTAACAAATTTTACTAGAAAAAATCATGATTCTGCGTAATTTGCCAGGTCCCGGTCGTTTTTTAAAAATAAATTATTTTAAATAATAATCCGATTTATTCAAGAGATTCAATAATAAATATATTATTATTAAATTATTGTTTATTATAGTTATTGATATAAATTAACAGTCAACATTCATACCCTACAATGAATGTCAGGTGGAGTCATAAATTTCAAAAGAGCAAATGCTAAAGACATCCACCAAGTTGCTCAATAATGGGGGGACAAATGGGTTCATCAGTTGACTTCCGGTCAAATCCTCCACCATACCAGCCAACCCTGTATTGATGCGCGACGTAGTAGCTGAGCAGGAAGGCGTCAATTTGGCGATGCCAAAAATCCCATTGGCACTGACCGGACTGCAGATATTGCCTCCCTGCACGATCCCTTGATCTTTTAACTAAATATTCGAGGACAAAAACTTTGAATTACTTCCAATTAAACTACAAAATTTCTTATTTAACGTGGAAGACATTTCTCCCGTAAAAATCTCATCTCCATTTGATTAGCATAACATTGGAGGCGGGTTGAAGCTCAGTTTGAATGCTGCGCCATTAAACGTGAACTTAAGTTTAGTATCTCGAAAATAGAATGGCCAACACCTGTGCATACATACATGACTTAACATAAAGGTATTCAGTTCCGCCACCTACGCTGCTTGATGTCCATATTTTACATGAAAGACAAATTTGATGAAACGCATATTATGTATGTAGCTAGTAATTTTTGGTGTGAAAGTATTCAGTAAACTAAACTAAACAAAATCTCAACTAGAAAATTCGACTTATCATTATTCAGTTGATATACATAAATATGTGGGAGAGGTGAAGTGGGTCAGTCAGAAAAGCAGTGGTCTAAACAAAACGACGCTTCGCGGGAAACTAAGGAAGGAATGCCACGGTCCGTGCATTGTGGGATTTTGATGCCCTTTGCATATGATGTTGTCCTGGGTGGGTGTACAAAAAGTGAAAGAAGGTTTTATCTTATTTGCGCCAGCCACACCCCTCCAAAAGGGAGCACAATGCTAATCTAGCTCTAAAACCGGTCCAATTACATATTTAAATTCATCTGTGAATGTAATATACTACCAAACTCAACAAACTAAACGTTTAAATAATCCAGACTTTCAACTGTTGCAATGTCCAACATTTGATGACAATTATATGTACAATTTACAAACTGGGACACGGCAGAGCTCATATTAAAGTCTAGACCTTGTTGTGACCGAACTTATGTATGTATTAAGACGAGTTGCTACCAACAGACTCTTCTTGTAGCGTCAGGTACGCGTTTTTACAGATGCAGATCAGAATTGATGTACATGCATTTCCTGCTCAGCTTAATGCGATTGAGCGTCGGCATGAATATGCATATTTAGTAACTAAAGATTGAGGTAGTCTGTAATCTGATCACTTGACCAACTATTATCTGTCGAAGTATGATATTTACAGATACCAATAATCTTTGATACATTTTTTAAAACAAGCAAATCCCAACACCTGAATGTTTTTTTCACACACGCAAAGGCACACTTGATAGATAGCGTATTGTGCTGCAAGTTTCTGCTTGAAACTTAAACTACTAGTTTACTTAATACTTGCTAACATATATGTATGTATTTATGTATGTGCATAAAACCATACGTAATGTCACAAAAATCCCTGCTAAACCAAAACCGGCCCTATTAAAAATTTAAATTCATCTGGGAATGTAACGTACTCTAGAATTTTTTCGACTAGTCACCTTATTTGCATATTTTGACGCATTCGAGTGAGACAAAAGGTTTACTTAACATTGTAGATCCCCGTATCGTCGAGATGGGCATCGTGAGATACATGCAAATGAGGTGACCCGCAACAATAATTTTAGAGTACATACAAACTCAACAAATTAACGTATAAACAATCTGAACTAATTTTGACCACCAGTGTGCCAACATTATGTGAAACAGACACTCGGGTGTTAGTGAATACTTATAATAACGTATATGTATTTCAGTAAATGACTGCGAAATATTTCAATATGTATTGTTGCGACCTGAACCTTAAAATGTTGGGTGACTAACTGAGTTTAATAGTACCTGAAGAGCCTGCATTTACTAGCTTATCAAGATGAACTTTATAATTAAGAAGGTTGAAGTTTGTATTGTCTACCTGTTGAGATGCATATCACTAATTATATGTATGTGTGCATGTGTACGTACAAGTAAAAAATTGGGTGACGACAGGTCCAGTTGTTTGTATGTCTAGGCGACCGAAGAAAAACTAGTTTTTCAATGTTTCTCAGTCTGTTAATAAATAATAAAATAGTTGCATAAACCAACTTCGACACTCTCCGACATTGTACATATAATCTTGAAAACAAATCAAGTCCATGTTTGTAAATACATGTCACAATTAGGGTTGTTAATATGGCATTTGTCATGACATGTCGACATGTCACAAATGTCGTAAATGTCTGACATTTAAAAAAACGTGTCCATGTCACTATTTGTCATTGTGTGAAAATTAAATTAAATTATAATACCTTGTAATCATCGAACGTTAGCTCCATTCCCTCATGTGGTTCTTTTTCCATTTTCTTGTCGAATTTGAAAACAATTTAATTAATTTAAGTTAATTAAAAATTAATTTTTGTGAATTTGTCAAAATGTCATGACATGTCATGACATTTTGGCATTGACATTTTGGACATTTACAATAAAACTGCCATCTATGAACATAGTTGAAATCACGGTGGCGGAAATGTTCTCTTCTTGACTCAATTCCACTCTGCCCACCTGTTTGTGGAATAAAAATCAACGATAAATTCATTGTGTGTACAAAATCAAATTTTGACCTGGAGATTAATTAATTGTGCACTTTCATTCACCGTCATCGTTAGCTCAAGGAGAGTTTACCGACAATTGTGGTTTGTTGGCTTCATATTCAGGTTGTGCTTATTTGTGTCATAAGCACAACAGAAACATTTATTCTTTTCGTTTTAATGAACTTGGAATTACAGGAATTAAGTTATACGGCTTTGTACCACTGAATCTTTTGTCACAATTTTCTTTGTCATCTTCTATTTTCACTTTCTTATAAATCTTGAAAAGATCCATTGTCATTTCAGCATTTCCGATCTCAAACTGTGGTTTTCCCTAATACCGTGCTCGTTTTGTTTCTGTACGAAAAAATGCTCCTGCAGGTCAAATGTGTCATAATCTGCCTTGTCCAACCTCAAAGCTCTGTAGTCCCTTTCTCCTCCCACTGTGATGACTAGCTTTCCTTGAAGTAGCTCATCCATCCTTCTCCGAACTGATTCTTCGGTTGGTAATGTTTTATTTTCGAAGGAATTTCTCTTGAATCCGGTTAGCTGTGTAAATGGGAAGCAATCTTTAAATGACCCTGTGGGGTGGTGAACAAGAGTTGAGTATTCTATCCCATTATTGTAATTTACAACATCAACGGAAGCCACTGCTGCTTATATTCTCCGTTTGGCGAGTGTTGCGGTTTCGTGACCATTTCCGTGTCGAATGCAATGATGTCTTTCTCCTCATACTCATCCCACCACGGTGTCTTGGATGCCACAGATGGGATGGCTGCATCTGGCGATGAGTTGACCGCATCTGTGGCTTGTCCGCTTCCTTTTGACGCAGACACGGGTTTAGTCTAAAACATGGAAAAGTATGTAACTATGTATGTTTCTAATAATACTTAACAATCTTTCATGTTACCTTCGAGAACTTAGAATCTTTAGCATTCCTTCGTTTTGTCAATTGAACCATTTTTTTTAATCGCCGAAGTTCATCTTGAGTGCAGAGCCCAATGAAGTCTTTAATAAATCCTAATCTTTGGGATGGTTTCTCATCGGGAAGTGTAGCAGCCCAGTCAAGTAATTTTTGCTGAAAATAAAACTTGGTTTTCAAAATGTATACATGTAAATAAATTATCTTCATAAGTGCACCAAACTCTTTTGAGCAGTAAACTCACTTATTTATTTTTATTCGTATTTGTATGCACACATGGATTATTAATAATTTTTATTGAATGATTAAATTAAAAATTATAATATCTTGTAATCATCGAACGTTAGCTCCATTCCCTCATGTGGTTCTTTTTCCATTTTCTTGTCGAATTTGAAAACAATTTAATTAATTTAAGTTAATTAAAAATTAATTTTTGTACTGGAGAGAAATAATATGCGCACAACAGCACACTATTTGGTTGTCCGCCTTGGTGGGGGAGTTTCGAGATTAATTTGTGCTATTTGTCAATGGCATGTCATATATGTCATGTCACATGTCATGTATTTGAAAGGCATGACATTTAAGGACATTTACTGACATTTATGACATGACATTGACATGATACGACATGACACGACATTTACTCGTGACACGACATATTAACAACCCTAGTCACAATAACACTATGACCAATATAAAGCTAGGAATTTTTGTGTAAAGGGTAAAGTGGAGGACACAAGTTCGCAAGAACTTGCTGCCTACTTGATCTTATTCAAATTGCCATTGTTACCAGTGCAACCCATGTAGATTCAGTATGTGAATTGTTGAAGATTTACATAAATTAGATAAACCTATAATTATTTTATCGTAGTAATATTATTTGTAAAATTATTTTAAGTATATATGAAACATGTGTGTTTTATTTATGTGGGTACAAAATGTGAATGTGCTCGCAATTTTGTACGAATGCTATGGATTTTGCAAATCAGTTAATAAATACTTGTGTTAATGCATAATATGGATAAGTGGTTTTGCAGAATGAGACTTTACAAGAAGGATTTCATACACGAAGAAATGGTTTTCCTGCATTATAAATACTGAAGTAATCTAACTGCCTCTCTTACATATACTCTCCGATTTTCAGTTCAATTCATGAGGCTGAATTGAATTAAGAAATTTAATTTGTGCATAAAGAGTGTTCCAATATAAAATGTATATTTAATGTGTATGAAAAAAAACGTGGTACATATTTTTTTTCAGATTATCACACAAAATCCAAATTTCACGCAAGTATATAATTTTTGTTTATAATTTTGTCAAATTACCCTCGAAAACTTCTTTCTTAGTATATAACGTACATATTTCCATAAAATTCACCTTGATTTTTTGAGTCTCAGGCCAAACAAGTCTTGCTAAACTAATTGTGAGAAAATGATTCTGCGTTGTTGTCCGGTTCCAGTAGGTTAAGGACATTAGGTCAAGGATAATACGGTTTTGAGACGTAATTCCCGTAGTTTGGTTTCCCTGGCCTAGGTGGCATCGGTCTATCATAATCCGGATTACCGTACGAATCGCCGCTTTGTCCCTGTGGACTCGATCCGTTGGGATGCTGATGCTGCCCAAAAAAATATTTTCCCAATGCTTGAAAATATGGGTTGTTCTGAAGGTCATGAACTACGGTCAAATTCTCCTCCGTACCAGCCAACCCCGTACTGATGCGCGATGTAGTAGCTGAGCAGGAATTTGTCAATTAGATTATGCCAAGGATCCCTCATGCACGGACCAGGTTGGTGATATTGTCTTCCGGCACGGTCTTCTGACTTTTCCACTAAATATTCCGATCATGAAAGAATTTAATTATCTACTTACATACCCTAGAATTTCTTCGGCTAGTTATTTTTTCACTCATTTGCGTATTTTGTGGCACTCGAAAGAGACAAAGTTTACTTAACATTGAAACCCCGTGTCGCCGAAATGGGCATCGTGAGATTAACGCAAATGACGTGACCCGCAACAATAATTTTGAGTACATAGATATATTTCATGATAGTATTATGTCGGAAATAGAATGACCAATCGATCAGACTGTAGATACATATGTAGATATGTGCACGTTAACATAAAAAGCATTTGGCTAGAAACTCTGTGGCGCCTTTTATAACAAAAGCAAATTTCATGAAAAAGTAATTCGCTTGCAATTTTGAGTTTGTTATTTAAATTACGCAAGCTAACCAAAAGAAAAACCTGAAAATTCCACTTTTCACCTACACTTTACATATGTAGATAACATGGATAATTTTTACCGGAAAAAGTCACAGACAGAACAGAATTTCTTATCGAGTTTTTTAACTTTTCCCACTTTCATACACTAGTTCACGTGATTAATCCAAAATGTTCAAAATATATGTATTTATACTAAATTAATCCGCAACCGCGAGTTCAAATTGATCATCAATTGATGTTTAAAAAAAATGATGTTTCGGCTGGATGTCAAGTATGTCACTTGAAATTTGTACTTTGGTAGCATAACCAAAAGGTTAGTAAGCACAATTGTCAAAGATCGGGTCAAGTTCTTACGAGAATTTCGATATTCCATGATGAACTTGACATCGGGTATTTCTAGTTGGGCCGGCTTTGTATCCTCGTCCTCCAATTGGACCAATGTTTTCTTGTATTTTTGAAGTGCTGCACTTTTCCAAAATTTTGAAAATAACTCATCCTGCTTTGTGGGTATTGTTGGAATTAATTGACACATAGTCACGCAAAATATGAGTTGCGTTAAGGTAAGAAGCTGAAATAGTTTATGTTCAATTTACTAAATTTACATATGTATCTAGTCAATTTGTTTAACCTACCAGAAATTTTGGGTTCATTTTTTAATATACAAATCTCAACACTTGAATAACTTTAAGATATTTTGCATGCAAAGTTTCACCATCACCCACGAAAAGGCAGACATACACTGAATAACCTATTGTACTGAAACTGTTAAAAGTATCCTGATGAATATACTTGTTGTGTCTGCATATGTACGAGGGGAGTCCAAGAAGTAATGGCAATACAATTTTATCTAGACAATGAAATCTATTTTATCCGATTCATTTTGTGGCGTTTCAACGTTTAGTCATCCCAATTCAAAATAACATTTAACTCAATTGGTCGCTTACCTCCATCGGTCAGAAAAAAATCTTTAGTGATGCTATTTTGCACGAAAGTAGATCGTTATCACTTTCTAAACTTCTACCCCTTGTGATTTTTTTCATATGTCAGAATTTATATAATTCATAGGGCCCTTGATGAAGAGAATATGGGGAGTGGGGAATTCTTCAGAGTGCAGATCGGTCCAGTGCAGCTCGCACAACTTCTCACTTTGAGACGAAAAATTGTCCAGAGAAAAGAAAAATTTGCACTGAAAAGCTCTCTCTTGTTAATTTTTACCCTAGAGAGCAATTCTTCCAGCACTCTCGCATGTTGATCTGCATTCATTATCCGTCCTTTTGCGAGATAATGTATATACATAACTTCACTAACATCCAAGTAAATAGTGACTGCTTGATTTCGCTCCATTTAATCCGATTTTATCCCTTTGTCCCGTTTTCAGTCACGTAATTCACTTCTGTTTTGCCTCCCGATGATAGAAATTCACGCAATAATCCTCATGTGTCACGATTTTTGGGATAAAAGTGATCAGATTCAGTTGCATAAATTCAACAAGCTTCAGTAAATTCGTACGGTTTCCTGATGTTGTGTTAGTGTAAACACATGTGTAAGTCATCACGATGAAAGCTTAGAAAATCGAAGTTTCTTATGTAAGGGGAAAATCCAACTATCAAGAGAAATGTCTATGTCCTCAGTTATATTTATAATATGAATACGCATAACCAACTTTACAAACTATGAGAAACTCTTCTACATGCGAGTTCATCAATACATTTAAGTTACACATATGGTCGAGGTCCATGGTCAACATTTTTTCCGGCACACATATGCCAAGCCATCGGACAGCTAATTATACTATATGATAAAGTACTATTGTCGTAAACATTTTGCATAATTTCAGGAATATTGGTTGTAAATTCATCCTGTAACGCAAAACTGTGGAGTTTTAAGAAAAAAGTACATTTTTTGTTAAAACTAATTTTTACTTACGATATGTGTCGTTGATGAAAGATTGAACGAATGAGATGTCAGAATCTCATGATGTTTGGACAACAAGGTCCAGGATGTATAAGGAATGAGTGGATATAATTTCAGCTTTGGGTCTTATCTTTGAAGGGCAGAGTGCTATTGCTTATTCGACTCCCCTCGTAAAAAGATATACAATGTAAAAAATTCGGGTACCACCTTGCAAAGCCAAAACCGGTCCAATTACATATTTAACATCGTGTGTGAACGTATGCAACACACATTCAAACAGAATAAATTAAATGTTTAACTAATCCATGCAAAACCTGATCATTGAGCCATCATCACGAGAGAACAGACAATTTAAAGACCTGCACAAGACACAACTGTCTTTAATACATAGACCTTGTTGCGACGGAAATTGTAAACACGTATTGCTAGTAACCGATATTTTCTGTAACGTCGTGTACGAGTTATTACATATTACAGATGTAAATTTATAATTTACCTACATATATTGCCTTCGTAGCTTAATATAAGTAGTTAAATGTGTGCATATATGTATAAATTATTGGCAGAATGTGCCAATATTCTTAAATTGACACATTCACTTCATGATTTTGTACGCTTCGGTGTCCCGCAAAAAAATTATGGTGATCGGAAACCGGACACCGCTCAACTACGACGTTCCCTCATTAAAGGAAGGTTACATTGAAATATATAAGATATAATATTGTTCATGTCTCGAACATTTTAGAGCATATTCTGAGGTCACTTTCTACTGCTCAAAATTTTCACGTTCCAAACTCTATTCCACGCTGCATCCCGTCGCCACACAAGGTTTTGTTCCAGGTACCCCCAAACCGAAATATTTCATTTTTAGGTTTATGGGTACCTAATAAAATTTATTTCTTGGGTCCTGCTTATTTTGGCTAAAAAACTGGCCATTTTGTAGGGCGTATGCGAGGAAGTTTTTTCATGCTGAATAAAATCTTTGAGAAGTCATCATCACAAATTCGCCGGAGAAAAGTTCCCAACGACGGCTTTAAAACCTTGTTGGTCTATTAGCCTGTGTTCAACTTGAATATTTTGGGAATTTAGAACCACATTATGACCCCACGACCTTATAATACCCACACAACCACGATCTTGTTAAAAAAGTTTTCCTGCTCAACTACCCAATTTTCGCGAATCTTTTCTCCTCACTTCAGATAGCAAAATCTTTTTTGCCAATGTGGTGTTGTACATATGACATCCCTTCGCCCAAATGTACACAAAATTTTGACTACTGACCAGCTAGACATTTCTAGTGATTTTTTTTATTTTTGAATTTATCATCCGATTCGCCATGTGCATCTGGTTTAGGAAATGAACTGTAGTATTCAAAACGAAATCTTTACCAAAATTACTAAATATTTACACTGGAGCTCATTCCAGGAAAGTGTATTTTCCATCAGTTCTCTTCATGGTGGATTATCTTTCCGGGTCAGCAGGTCAACTTCTCTCACAGCACCGCGATTTGAATATTTTAAGGGTTGTCCCAGATTGGAGATTACAAACGTACGTGCGCTGAACGCCCATTTCCAGTACCATTGTAAATGTTTACTATTGTTCTCCGAGTGAGCTCGATTTTATTCACCAAAAAAAATTTATCATCAGAATAGAGACGGATTTCAGGTTGGAACGACCAAAATACGTCCTTCCGATTTCACTAGTATTTTCTCCGGGACGGTTATTCTTACAATTCTGAAAATATTACAGCTTATATCTGGAGACGTTAATGAATAACTAATGTAAAAATATTGTCCCAATTCGTGCACGATAAGCTGATACAGGGAAAAACTGAACGAATACAAGTGCATCGCCTCTGGTATCACGGTTCAAATTTGTAGTGCCCTTCCATTGAGATGCATATCACTAATTACATATTTACATGAATGTAAAAAATGGGTGGCGACAAATCCAGTTACAAATCTAAGTGACGGACGAAAGACGAGTTTTTCAGTTTATTGATCATTAAATACCTACAAAGTTGCATCAACTATTTGGACTAGACATTCTCCAACACTAACAAGTAAGTAAGTAAGCAAGTAAGTAAGTTCTTGTTGTAAGTAATCTTAACAACAAAATTCAATATATTGTATGTAAATTTGTGTTGACTAGCTTCCCAAAGCCGGTGCCCTACATTTGTGCGCACCTCAGCCTGGAATTTAACCACACTACATCCTACTCATTAACAATATCTTTTTATAATGTTACACTTGCTGCATAATAATTAAATTTTATGACAAAGTTTCAAATCAACTACCGATATTTCACGGGTAGGTGAATCCCAAAGAAAATACTGGCATGAAATCATACTTCACTTTTTCTAGACTCACCTAAGTCTACAACATATCAAAATGGCATCAAAGTTAGGTATTCATCATAATATGTATGTAGATAAATCATAGCAGGTCGCTCTCCTTCATATATTTGAATAAACTCTCGTACCCAATATACACAATTAAGTAACGGAAGTGAAGTGCTGAAATTAATTTATGCATTAAATATTCTACAAAAGTGAATTGTTACGGTAACGTTGTGAATACACGAAGAGTACAAAATTAGGTTAGTGAATTAAGTACATACCCAATATGATTTACAGGTTTTAAAAGTTCCCGCATTACAATGAATTTGTTTGATAAGCTGAGAATATTGTTAACAATGCAATTTTTCTAACAATTCCGAATGTGGCAGTAACCCGTGGACTTGTTAAATAGATACATATATAGTTATGTAGGACAGAAATTTATGGTTACATTTTGAACTATTTATTCTTACTTATTACACAAAAAGTTGAAGATGAAAAAAATACCATAACCATAACATTTACGCCATCAAAGCATTCACCGTGTAATCCATGAGGGCCATGTAGTACGTTGACCGTGTGGATTTCTTCAACACAAAGAAACTAAATTCCCCGCTTCCCACCCGAATTCCAATCGGTATAAGCATCCTTCCCATCTTCTCTTCCAGTCGCATATTACCCCGTTTCAACCTCAACCTCGTTCTCCACTCCACCAGCAATTTACTACTATTTTCATGACATGCGATCCCATACGGGAGCAGGAGCCTAATTCCAACCATTCCTAAAAGTGATCCAATCGGAAAAACGAGATAGAACGGCATCGGGATGACACCAGCCATTCGAACACTTACGAAATTACACGTCACCGTGAAGCCAAACCCTAACGAGAGCAATAAAGAAGCGACCAGGGCGGAAATTGCCTCTAGATTTTTTGCTAATATGCGAAACCTTTGATAAATCTGGATCGAATATAGGCTTGGACTAAGTCGGGCTAACTTGGTGACGGAATCGATCAACATGTTTCCAATCACTGCGCTATTAATTACCCCTCCGACAAGGGCGGCAGTGTCGTTAAAAGCAACAAATCCATAGTAAGCCGTCACTACTATGAATGTGATGGATTTGCAGGCAAAATACGTGTTCAAAGGACATATCGCATCCGCCCAGGCGTACAGAAGGTGAGCAAAGCTATCATGAATGGTCAAATATCCGCAAAAAATTGCAAAAAGTAATGGCATCGGGGCCGATAAGAAGATAAAGATGGATAAAATGATGGTCAGCTTGTCCAGTTTCTTGGTCGGTTTTCGTTTTGCAAAAACTGTGATACAAACATATGTACATGTAGAATGAATTATTTTCGAGTTTACAAGTCAGAACCTAAATACATATCTATGTAAGACTAACGTAGGTGATATGGAGACTCACAGATTCCCTAAAAAAAACTTAAATATCAAGGCCGACAGACTTTGATG